AGTTATATGCAATAAAGTTGGCAATTGCCCTTTTATGTACAAAATAAATTTCCACTACAATTAACAAATTTTGCACAAATCTTTTTTTTTTTTTTTTGGTACAACAGAAATAAGCTAAATAATTAAAACAAGGAAAACTACTAATAGAGGAAGCATACCCCCATTTGATCCCCTTCAAGGATATTCCATAGTTCACTTGGTGGAGAATCCCAAATATGTAATCCTGGTGCAGTTGAGTGTCCCAGGGAAGCTAAATAGTCTGCTGCAGCATTATCTTCTCTTAAAGTATGCTGCAATATACACACATCAATTCCCTGCATCAAGTTTTTAATTTCCAATAAAATAGCTAAAAACAAATTATCTGGTTCTCGGTTCTCATTGACAAGGCAAACAGATATGAAAGCGTCCATTTCTGCAATAACACGAGAAAGTCCAAGGAATTGGCATAACCGAAGCCCTTCTCTAAGACCCCAAAGTTCTGCTATAAGAATAGAGGTATACCCCACATTAACCATGAATCCTGAAACCCAACTACTAGAATTAACTCTAATCAAGCCCCCAGCACAAATCTTTGTAGAAAATCTAAAATGAAAAACTTCTATAAGGCATTACAAATAATTAAGAGAACTTATATAAGTACATTGCAAACTTTTATAAACTTCATAATGTACAGCTTCACAAAGTAAGCTCATTGCAAATTTCTACAAGCTTCACAAAGTAAGCTATAAACTTCACAAAATAAGCTCAATTCATATCCAAAACAAACCTAACACTAAACAAAATAAGCTCCAATTCTTTACAAAATAAGCTTAAAGGTTACTCTATCATAACAATCACTCCTTTGCATGGGGTAATTGACTTGCACTTCCATCTTCTATGACCTAAAAAACAAAGCACAAAACTAAGATCTTGTTAAGTTACATGCAAATAGGATGCTAAAAAGTGAAAAAATAATGATTAACTTAATAATTTTACCTTGTCTTTTGTCTTTCCACAAGTCCTAGAATCATGACCTTTAAAATCACATGTGCTACAAGTTTGCCTTCTAATATGAGCTGTATTTTGTGACACTTGTTTTCCTGCAGGAATCCTAGAAAGTTCCTTTGGTCGACCCTTGGTTCTAACCCTTTTCGGATCACGAATATCTATGTTACTTGAAATTAAATCTTGAGATATTGCTTGAGCACCAAAATCTTGCTCACTTTGTTCAGTAACCAAACCTTCAAGCTCCTTTCTAATACTATATAATTGCCTTTTCAAATCTTCCACCACTACTGCAGCAACATTATAAAGTTTGCCATGACTTACTGCTTGGTCATGCACTTCATTAAGAGATTTTTGAAGATTCCAAGAAGCAAGTGCAGAAACCACTAATTCTTTTGATGTGCTTATCAATTGAGATTGTTTACTACTATATCTATATGCCAAGGTCCATCTAGCCAAAATGTATTGTTTAGGAATCTCTTCCATTCGATAACATTGCATCATTATGTGAAGAATATGTTTACACAAAATACCACTAGTCTCAAACTTCCCACAAGTACAAGCAAACTCCTCCTTGGACGGACCACATCGCACGGAGTGTGAATCAACCTTGCCCCCAAACCCATAACTAACATCATATGTGGTCATCCCATCATTAGTAGCTACTTCATCATGCACACAATATAAAGAATCTTTGAACTCACTCTGAAATTTAGCAAATATCTTTCTAGTGTAAACCATTCCAGCTCGAACTTCTAACTTATGCAAGTGACACGGATTTGGCTTTGCTCTCATTGTCCACATGTCTTCATTCACTTCTTCATCACGACAACATTGTAGAGCTTTAGCATATTGGCCAACAAACTCGAATAATGGTGTCATAGAGTTCACATAACCATCAAAAAATGAATTAATGCTCTCACTTCGTTGACTTGATCTCATTCCAGCAAAAAATGTGTCCCTCAAATACACATCAATCTAACTATATCGTTGCTCATACATGCTTTCTAACCATTTCCAGGACTTTTTTTCATTGTGTTGCTTCTCTGTCAATGGCTCAATAAACTCTTGTTTATATTTCTCCTTCAACTTTTTCCGTGCATTCTTGGCTTCTTCAATAGTTTTACTTTTTCTCACCCACTTATAATATTGTTCATCAAATCCAGGATTATATGATGATCTTAAAGACTGAAGATGCTCATCCTCATGGAGTGAGATGTGCCAACTACAAAACCTATGACGTGTGTTCGGAAAAACCCTTTTAATTGCATTAGTGATTGCTGGGTCCTGGTCAGTGATAATTGCACCAGGTGCTTTACCCCCCATGCACCGCAACCACCACTCAAATAACCACACAAAGTTATCTTCCTGTTCATCCGATAGGAGGGCGCATCCAAACAAGGTTGACTGCCCATGATGGTTCACACCAATAAATGGAGCAAATGGTAAAAGAAATGTATTAGTCCGATATGTCACATCAAAACCCACAACATCACCAAAATTTTGATACATTTCCCTAGCTCTCCCATCTGCCCAAAACAAGCTCCTACAAACACCATTTTCATCAATCTTTATGGCATGGTAAAAATTTTCATCTGAAGCAGTCATAAATAGGAATTGTTGCATAACCATCATACACTCGCGACCAATGTTGCTCTCCCTTTTTTTTCCTCAAATGTTGTTGACATTGTTGTGGGGTAATATTCGATGTACCATTGCCTGTCACATTCAAAAGTCTTACAATTCTAGAAGGTCCACAACCAGCTTGTTTATATTGATCCATTAGCTCAATTGTCTTCATTAACAAGTGTTCTTTGTTGTGGGACTGCAACTTTTTTACTTTATTTGGGAGTAAACATCTCATGGTTATGTTCATCAATAAATTGGCTTATAATCCAAACTCCATCTTTCAAGAGAACAGACATTCGAGCACAACAATTTACTCGATTTGGACGGTCACATGTTCCCTTTTTTTAGGCTGATAATTTCTCTTTTTTCTTGC